GGAATGCATGAATCATATTGGCCAAATGTAGAACGTGAAGTTCGGGGTATGACATCCTCGCATTAAAGAGTATGATGGGACGACCGACCCAATCAACCATCTCAATGTATATACCGATGTCATAAATTTGCAAGTTGCTTCGGATCAAGTTATGTGCAAAGCCTTCCCACAAACGCTGACTAATGCTACATGGATTGGTTCTCGACATTGGAGCCCAACTCCATAGCCTCATTCTCAGATTTGGCTGATAAGTTCTCAGCCTTCTTTTCAAGTAGTAAACATATCAGAAAGACTGCGGCCTCTCTCATGCAACTTCGTTAGGGACTAAATGAAACCTTACGAGGTTTTATGACGAGGTTTAACAAAGAAAGGCTTCAAATACCTGACCTGCACATCACAGCGATTGTCTCAGCCCTCACTTAAGCCATAAGATGTGAAGCCTTCAAGATGTCCTTATCAAAGACCCCACCACAGACAGTGACCGAACTCCTTACCCGAGCTGAAAAATACATTAATATGGAGGAAATGCTGAATCCAAGGAGATCTGGTCCTTTCCATGAAAAGGCCGAGAACAAGAAGCAATATGATCCCGTTTCCCAACCAGAGCATCCTCGAGAAAAGCGCAAGAATGAAGGGCCATCAGGGCCTTTCACTCGGTTGAACACCTCCAAGGCAAATATCTTAATGGAGATCAAAGATACGAAAGAGTTAAAGTGGCCTTCAAGAATGAAGTCACCCCCTGACACAAGAGATAGGAGCAAGTATTGTGAATTTCATCGAGATCATGGGCATATCACAGAGGATTATCAAGCATTGCAGTGGGAAATTGAAACCCTCATTAAAAGAGGGCTCTTAAAGAATTATATTGGTTATGATAAACGCCCGAGGAATGATCGTGACAATCGGAAAGAGCCTGGAGCCGGAAGCAGTGTTCAACCCATTGTCGAGACCATTAATATTGTCATTGGAGGCATAGCATCTGGAGGAGATACAAGTAGTGGGATAAAACAATATGCCGGCCAACATGCTCATACCTCAAGGGAATCCTGTGATAAACTCGAAGACATTACCTATGGGACAAGAGATTTGGAAGGAGTATCATATCCTCATGACGATGCACTGGTTGTCTCTGCAATTGTGGCTAACTTTGAAGTAAAGATGATTCTAATTGATAATGGAAGTGCAGCAAACATACTATCACAGGAGGCTTTTGCTAAAACGAGGATCTCTCCCAAACAGCTCAAAGCAGTAAAAGCTCCTCTACAGGGATTTGGTGGTGGAGTAATTATCCCGTAGGCATCGTCGAGCTTCCGCTTACATTGGGTTTTGACAATGCACAAGTGATCGAGATTGCGCCTTTCAAAGTGGTTAACACTCCTATGGCTTACAAAATTATCCTTGGAAGACCCCTACTGAATAAGATCCAAGCTATTGTATCAACTTTCCACCTAGCCATGAAGTTCCCAACAGGTCATGGCATCAGAGTAGTTCGAGGAGACCAAATCACTGCCAGACAATGCTATGTTACTAGCATCCGAGGAATGAGTACAAACGTCATGCAAATTTCAAAGCTTGAGCTCGAGCCAAGGGGTAGACTTTCTCCTGTTGAGGAATTGGAAGTGGTCGAGCTCGAGCATGGAAAAAGGGTAACAATCGGTCGGGATCTCAAAGTTGGCCTCCGGGAAGAAGTCATCAGTTGTCTCTCCCGCAACATTGATGTTTTCGCATGGAAGGTCGAGGATATGCCAGGGATAGACCCTAAAGTAGTAGTCCATAGACTCAACATAAGCCCATGGGCCAGACCTATTAAGTAAAGGAAGAGGCATTTTACGCCAGAAAGACGTGTGGTGATTCAGAAAGAGGTCTGCAAACTGGTGAGAGCGAGGTTCATAAGGGAAGTCCAATACCCCGATCGGCTCGCTAATATTATTGTTGTGAAGAAGGCCAGTGGTAAATGGAGGGTCTGCACCGACTTTACAGATCTCAATAAAGCGTACCTAAAGACAGCTACCCGCTCTCCAGGATTGACAATCTTGTGGATAGCACATCCGGACATAAGTTGTATAGCTTTTTAGATGCATTCTCAAAGTATCATCAAATCCTCATGGCTGTAGAAGACGAAGAGAAGACTTCATTCATAGCTGATTCTGCCATATACTGCTATAGGGTGATGCCATTTAGGTTGAAAAATGTTGGGGCAACATATTAGAGGCTCATTAACAAAGTCTTTGTTGATTTGATAGGGAAGAACATCGAAACCTATGTTGACAACATTGTGGTAAAGAGTAAGAAGGTAGAGCAGCACATATCCTACCTAGGGGAGGTGTTCGCCACCCTGCGAGAAAATTGGATGAAGCTCAACCTAGAGAAGTGTCTGTTTGGTGTAGCTTCGGGAAAATTTTTAGGCTTCATGATCACTCACCGAGGGATAGAAGCAAACCCTGATAAGATCCAAGCCTTGGTAGCAATGAAATCACCTAGGACTAATAAAGAAGTCCAAAAATTGACAGGTAGGGTAGCAGCCCTAAACAGGTTCATGTCCCGGGCAACAGATAGATGCTTCCCTTTCTTCAAAGTTCTTAGAGACAGTCAATCCTTTGAATGAAATGAGGAGTGTGAGAAGGCTTTTCAGGAACTCAAATAGACATTGGCGTCTCCTCCTCTCCTCACTAAACCAGAGCCCGAGGATACTTTGTTATTGTACTCAGCTGTGTCTCAAAATGCAGTGAGCGACGTCTTGGTGAAAAAGGTCAGCAGAGCCCAGCAACCCATTTATTACGTAAGTAAAGTCCTACTTGATGCAGAGACCAGATACACTTTGGCCGAGCAACTTGCCCTTGCCCTAAGAATAGCAGCACGAAAGCTTCAGCAATATTTTTAGTCTCATCCCATTATGGTGCTCACTAACCAACCTTTGAAATACATCCCTCAAAAGCCAGACGTCTCACGCAGGTTACTAAAGTGGGCAACTGAACTTGGAGAGTTTGACGTAGAGTTCAAACCCCGTCCGTCCATCAAAGCTCAAGTCTTAGCGGATTTCATTGCAGAACTCACCCCAAGGCCTCGGGGGCCAGATGAGATCTCAAGCACTACAACAGATGTTTGGCAAATTTTCATAGATGGAGCATCAAACTCCTCGGGATCGGGTGCTGGGGTCATCATCACGAGCCCAGACATGCTCATAGACATTTAGTGTGCACTTAGGTTCGAATTCGAGGCAACTAGAAGAAGAGTATGAGGCTGTCATTATAGCCATAGAACTTACCATTAGTCTCGAACTTGAAGGCATCTAAATTTTTAGTGATTCCCAGTTGGTGGTTGGCCATATTAACGGTACATTCGAGAAGAAAGACGAAAAAATGAGCATATACTGCTCAAAAGTTCATGATCTCCAACGAAAATTGAAGAGGTGTGAAATTGTGAAGATTGTCCGGGCCGACAACTGCAAGGGAGATGCCTTATCAAGGCTGGTGTTCTTAGGAGTAGATGGACTTGATATGACAGTACATGTCAGATTTGTGACCGAGGCTAGCATCAATCCAACCATTGGGGTCATGGACATCGATCATGAGCCATCATGGATGGACCCAATTGTGGATTTCATAATAAATGGCAATCTTCCAGAAGATCCTCGGGTAGCAAGGAGCGTCCGATCAAAAGCTCCAAGGTATTACATTATTGATGAGGTCTTATTTCGCAGAAGGCTCACACTTCCGTACCTTAGGTGCCTTAAGCCTTCGGAGTCCTCCTAAGCCCTAGAGAAAGTTCATGAAGAAGTATGTTGGAACCATCAAGGAGCTCGGGCATTAGCCTTTAAACTCATAAGGTACGGATATTACTAGCCTTCAATGAAGAAGGATGTCATGGAATATGTGAAGAAGTGTGACAAGTGTCAGAGGTTTGGCAATGTTATTCGTTTTCCCGCAGAGGACCTCACCAACATCAGTTGCTTGGCCCCATTTGAGCAATGGGGGATTGATATCCTCGGTCCATTTCCAATAACTAGGGGACAATTAAAGTTTGTAGTTATAGCAGTTGAGTACTTTACCAAGTGGGTAGAGGCCGAGCCCTTAGCAACGATCTCAGAGCCTAAGATAAGAGCTTTCGTTTGGAGGTCTATCATACGCAGGTTCGGGATACCAAAGGTCCTTATAACTGATAATGGCTGGCAGTTTGATAATGTACAATTCAAGGATTTCTGTTCCAACCTAGAGGCTGACCACCGCCTGATATCAGTTTCTCATCCCCAAAGTAATGGTCTAGCCGAAGTCACCAATCCGATTATATTGCAAGACCTCTGATCCAGGATTGGAGATGCAAGAGGTGCCTGGTCCGACGAGTTGCCCTCCATACTTTGGACTTACAGAACATCCCACATGACTGCCACTGGGGAGACCCCCTTCATGTTAGCTTTCAGAATCGAAGCTACCATTCCCATTGAAATAAGGTTACCCAGTAAAAGAAGACTTGAACTCGAAGAAGCAGGGCGCACCACCGAACATCTCGACCTCTTGGAAGAAGTTCGTGATCAGGCAACCTTAAGAATGGTCTCTTACCAAGACAGAACAGGAAAGTATTTTAATAGAAGGGTAAGGCCGCGAAAATTTAGAGCTGGAGGTTTGGTGTTGAGAAGGGTTGAAGTCGCTGGTCATGCTCTGTGAAAACTCGGACCAGTTTGGAAAGGGCCCTTTGAAATCATACGACAGCTCCCAAGAGGTGCAAACAGTTTAAATGATACTTCGGAAATACCACTCCCAAGACCGTGGAACACTGAAAACTTAAAGGTATATTACAAGTAACACGCTCCACCATGTTTTAGAAATAAGGCATGCGTGCTAAGTCTATTTTTATCGTTAATGAGGCTTGCGCGCTAAGTCTATTTTTATCGTTAATAAGGCCTGCGTGCCAAGTCTATTTTTTATCATTAATAAAGCCTGCGTGCCAAGTCCATTTATAGAGTTATATTACAGATAAAGTTAAATTCGATGATATGATCACTACAAATCAAAGTCTTACCCTGAACAAGCAAGTCAAAGCCTTGCCCCGTGCAAGCACTTCAAAACCTTGCCCCCATGCAAGTACTTTAAAGCCTTATCCCGAGCAAGCAAATCAAAGTCTTGCCCCATACAAGCACTTCAAAGCTTTATCCCGAGCAAGCATTTCAAAACCTTGCACCGAGCAAGCAAATCAAAGCCTTGCCCCGAGCAAGCAAATCAAAACCTTACCCCGTGTAAGCACTTCAAAGCCTTGTCCCGAGCAAGCACTCAAAGCCTTACCCCAAGCAAGCAAATCAAAGCCTTATCCCGTGCAAACACTTTAAAGCCTTATCCCGAGCAAACACTTAAAGCCTTGCCCCGAGCAAGCAAATTAAAGCCTTGCCCCGTGCAAGTACTTCAAAGCCTTGCCCTGTGCAAGCACTTCAAAGCCTTGCCCCGACGCATATCAAAGTCTTGCCCCGTGCAAGCACTTTAAAGTCTTGTCCCGAGTAAGCACTTCAAAGATTTGTCCCGAGCGAGCAAATCAAAGCCTCCCCGTGCAAGCGCTTCAAAGCTTTGTCCGGAGCAAGCGGTTCAAAGCCTTGCCCGAAGCAAGCAAATCAAAGCCTCGCCCCAAGCAAGCAAATCAAAGCCTGCTCCGTGCAAGCACTTCAAAGCCTTGCTCCTTGCAAGCAAATCAAAGCCTTGTTATGTGCAAGCAAATCAAAGCCTTGTCTCGAGCAAGCACTTCAAAGTCTTGCCTCGAGCAAGCAAATCAAAGTCTTGCCCCGTGCAAGCACTTCAAAGCCTTGTCCCGAGCAAGCACTCAAAGC